AAAATCATAGCTTAGACAACGCCCTGTCCAAATCATTTTTGTTTTGTGACCATGGTGTACATCTATTACCTTGGTTTGGACAAAGAGAATGGTCCATGCTCAAGTCCATTATAAGAAGAAAATAAAAATATAACAGGTGATTAGTGGTTTCAACATACTCTGTTAGCATGTTTTATCTAACACTTTCTGTTAGCAATCTCTATTCCTGTATAGGTAATTGCGTGTTTCTCTATTCGCGTTTAATCTGTGTATTATTATTATTACAAGTAGGATTATCTCCCCCCTTATCAAATGTGAGTATAGAGATGAAACGTAATGAACTAGAAAACGATACTGAGGAAATTGTTGCCTACTTTTGTTGAAATGTTCACTGTGCACTATTTTAATAATGCATGTTTTGCTCTGAAGATCACACATTGTATCCATTCTAATGCTGTGTGCTTTTAGAAGCTACTAGGTAGGTATTGTTGATAATTCTTGGCTTGAGAGTCTTGTTCATGGAAATGCAAAGTGTTGTAAGAATATGCCCTGATGTTGTCTTTTGCAGGTTGTGTGAAGATGGGGGCTGGTGGCCGAACCTTTGTCCCTCCTTCCAACAGGAAATCAGAGGCCGATCCTCTGAAGCGGGTGCCATTTGAAAAACCTCCTTTTAGCCTCAGCCAGATCAAGAAAGCCATACCACCTCACTGTTTTCAGCGCTCTGTTCTCCGCTCATTCTCCTATGTCATTTATGATCTAACTATAGCCTTCTGCCTGTATTATGTTGCCACCCATTACTTTCACATCCTTCCCCAACCACTGTCTTTCCTTGCATGGCCAATCTACTGGGCTGTCCAAGGTTGTATCCTCACTGGCGTTTGGGTCATTGCTCATGAGTGTGGTCACCATGCTTTCAGTGACTACCAGTTGCTTGATGATATCGTTGGCCTTGTTCTCCATTCTGGTCTCCTAGTCCCATACTTTTCATGGAAATACAGCCATCGCCGTCATCACTCCAACACCGGTTCTCTCGAGCGGGATGAAGTATTTGTGCCAAAGCAGAAGTCCGGTATGCAGTGGTACTCTAAATACCTCAACAATCCACCAGGCAGAGTCCTCACACTAGTCGTCACCCTCACTCTTGGTTGGCCCATGTACCTGGCTTTTAACGTGTCAGGCAGGCCTTATCCAAGGTTTGCTTGCCACTATGATCCTTATGGTCCTATTTACTCTGATCGTGAACGACTTCAAATATATATATCAGATGTTGGAGTACTTGCAGTATGCTATGGCCTTTACCATCTTGTCATGGCAAAAGGGCTTGCCTGGGTGGTGTGTGTTTATGGAGTTCCGTTGCTAGTGGTCAATGGATTTCTGGTGTTGATTACATTCTTGCAGCATACTCACCCTGCATTACCGCACTACAATTCCTCTGAGTGGGACTGGTTGAGAGGAGCTTTGGCAACAGTTGACAGAGATTATGGAATTCTGAACAAGGTCTTCCATAATATTACAGACACTCATGTAGCACATCACTTGTTCTCCACAATGCCGCATTATCATGCAATGGAGGCTACAAAAGCAATAAGGCCCATTTTGGGAGAGTATTATCGGCTTGACGAGACTCCATTTGTGAAGGCAATGTGGAGAGAGGCAAGAGAGTGTGTTTACGTGGAGCCAGATCACGATACTGAGAACAAAGGTGTATTTTGGTACAACAACAAGTTGTGAGATTAGTGCTGCGGCGTTTCAAGTTTCCTTTGTGTCGGTTAAGTATGCAAACCTGCTTATTGGGAATAATTTTGGTAAACCCTAATGTTGTTGGTTGTAGTGTCTAAAAAGTAGTGTAGCTGTTTTTGTTTGCAGAATAAGATATGCCATCTCAGAACAGTTTAATTATTGCACCAAGACTTGAATCAGTGCATGTACACCATGCTCTTACGCTGTTGAGGAAAGCTTATTCTTGTTCTAGTATTTTATTGCAAGCAATTCGCATATTCTGTTCCCATTTAAAAGTTCTAAAATCATTATTCTCAAACGAGTCACATTAGTAATTATTACACTTGTTTTTCTAAATGTTGAGAAGCAGGCCTAATGATTCAGTTTTTAATTCACTGAACTCGTCTTGCAATTGAAGTTATTTCTAATGAGATTCACTTTAAACTTATTTCTAATCGTTGGGCCTATTGAATCTCTACTCTTCAAGTGATAGAATTAAAGAAGAGAGATCCCTGATATTATTAGAAGACACTTCGATTGTCACAATAAATAACAGGGATACTGACCTTGAGTTGAAGTTCTTGAAGAAGAGATTGCAACCACTGAATTTCAACATTAGTCTTAAGGTTGTGGTATTCGGCTTCATGATCGAGCAACCAAAGTTGTATTTTAGACCACTAGGACACCAAAGTAAAGCCAATGTATATACATGCACCTGAGGTTGAGCGTTTGTCATTAATGTCAGATGACGAATCTGCATCACAATATACATGGATAGTGTATCTGTTGCGAACAATTGAAATAGGCTGAATGTGCAAACCATAAGAGGTAGATCTTTTAGATAGCATAGAATACCCTTAACTGTCTTCCAATGTTCAATGAGAGGTTGAACCACGAATTGACAAACTTTATGCATACTATATCTAATCTCTGACCCGATAATAATGATATAATGTAAAGCACCAACTGTGGATCGATAAAGGGATGAATCATCCATATAATCAGAACCAGGTTTAGATAATTTGAGACCACCAGGAAAAGGAGGAGAAACTCCTTTGCCAACTCTGTTAAGGTCACAAATATATTTACTAAGTAAGAAGAAGAGAACTACTAGAAAGTTTGTTGATCTGAATTCCCAAAAAGTACTCAGGAATTCCAAGATGCTTAAGAGCATAACCAATGCATAATTTTGAGATAGCGGTCTGAAGTAAAGCTAAAGAAGATCCAGTGAAGATAATGTCATCCACATAAATGAAAACATAGAGACAGTCAATAGCAAAAGTGAATGTCAGAAGAGAAGGATCACACTTGCTTTGATGAAAACCAAAACCAGTAAGAGTAGTGGTGAGTTTCTCATGCCAGGCTAGGGTCCTGTTTTTATCCATAAATTGACTTGTAAAGCTTGCAAACAAGATTGGAATCAGAAGACAACCAGGTGGTTGAGTCATGGTTTGACAATACCAGACTTGGACCGAGTTTGCATTGCATGAGTGGAGGTAGACTAAGATGTAACAATAGGAAGAGAAAACTCAGCTACAAGAGGTAAATCAGGAGCAGAATTAGAAGTGGGTAAGGCAGTGGAGGAACTGCCTAGATCGTGTGTAGGGAGAGATGAAATAGGATTGAATGTTTTTATGTGTTTTCTTTTGCTTTGCTATTGAAATGTTTTAAATGTTGCCTTTCATTTTACTTAATGCTCCAGACAACTAATATTAAAACGGTTTATGCCTTTTATTTAGTGAAATCTATAACATTAATAAAAGATATTAGGTTCCGTTATAATTAATTAGGTTTAGATGATTAGTATGCCATAGTAGATAATACTACCGGTATACACATGCTTTAAATTTAGCTTTTATTTGCATAAAATTAATTAGTTACATTTTAAAAAATGGTTTAAATAATTGTTTGGTCTCTATTTTTTTGTCCATTTTGTTTAAGGTGGAATTCAATTTTTTCCATGTTAAATATGGTTTCTATTTGACTAAATTATATTTAATTTAATCATTTTTCATGATAACGTCTAAATGGTTGACGCAATATAAATAGGTGTCACGTGTTAGTTTGTAGATTTTTTTAATTTAAAAAAATTGTTCACATGTCAAATCAACATTATATCATGTGTTAAATCAATATTAGTATCACGTGTCAAGCTAGTACTAGTATAATATGTTAGTACGTGAGTTTATTAATTTTTTATTTTCTTTTTTTTTTTAATTTAAAAAAGTTGTTCATGTGTTAAGTCAACATTGTATTACGTAATAATGTCTGTGTTATATTCAATTTAGTCACAATTTTCATTAATTTTGTTTAATTTAATATATTTTTGATAATTTTGTTCAATTGAGTCTCAATTAGGGTGACAAAATTACTCATATTCGTGAGTATCTATAGATATCTAATATTTATTATTCACGAGTAACAAGTATTTTAATACTTATTTATAAGCAGATTGAGTAGGGATATCATTTTACACACATTAGTGAGTATTCATTATCCACAAAAGAAAAATATATTTTATTAATTTAAATTTAATTAAAATTTAAATTAATTTATAGTTTTTATTTTAATTTATATTTAATTTAATTGATATTACATTTTATATTCTTTTGTAACTTTATTTAGATTTTGTTTTAAAAATAATGAAAAAAATTTCTTCTAATTTTGTAAATAATGAAAAAAAAAATTAAAATAAGGAAGAACTTTCCTTCTAATTTTTAAATAATAAAGAATTTTTCACTAATTCTAAAAAAATAAAGATTTTTTCTTATATTTTAAAAATAATGAAAAGATTTCCTTATAAAATTTAAAATTGTACCTGAGTTTAACGAAATTTATAATTAAATTGAACCTAAAACAACGTGACATTGACATTTATACTGACATTATTACATAACACAAGTTGATTTAATATATACTACAACATTTTCTTAAAATAAAAAAATAAAATTAAAGTTTAAAATTTTTTAAAAAATAAATAAAAAAATCGGAAACTGAAGTGTAACGTAACTTTGTTAACCATCTAGACAATGTAAAAAAATAGATAATTTACAAAACAAAATTCATATTGAATATTAGAAAAAAATAATCTCACGTGAAACAAAATAATTAAAAATAGAGAAAAAAATATTTAAGCTCTAAAAATCCAAAGTAATGTTTTCTTTTACTAAAATTCTAAGTAACGTTGTTATTTATGAATTTAAATAAATTAGTTATCATTTATCATATAGAAAATACTAAATGGGTAAAGAATCAGAGATATCGCACATGGTGCAAGGTAATAAAACCGTTTATCTACACTTTATTAAAGAAATTGAGTATTTATATGTTGTTCTCTGCAGGGTTGAAAGAAAGAAAGAAAGAAAGAAAGAAAGAACTGAAGCGAGGGAAGTGTTCCCGCCATGGGAATAGAGCGCGTGCAGTGTGACTATGTCTCTCTGGTCAATGCTCTTTCTCTCTGCTTCACTTGTGTTGTGATTTTTTATGATGAATGTGTTAATTTGATTTCTGTGTGGAAGCAGGACGAAACCTTCGAAATTGGAAAAGAGAAGTATCACGGTCAACAGTACTGCCATATTTACTTCGCACGCCTTCATTTGATGCGGACTCTCTTGTATTCACTCGTTCCTCACTGGAAACCTAATTTTCCCGGTAACCTACTCCTTCTTTTTCTACCATCACATCCACTTAGGGTTATATAATACTATCATATTCCTCTGTGTTGTGGTGTTTCTTTTGTTTTGAGGTTTCAATTTTTTTTTTACGGTTTCTGTTTCGCACAGTGTGCACGGTGTTGGAATTGGAAGAGGGCAAGGAATGTGTCATTGTTGGAACCCTCTACAAACACATGCAGCTCAAACCTCGCGTACTTGATGAGTATTCTAAGCAGGTTCCTCTCTGTTTATACTTCATGGGTATTCCCATCAATATTGCACGTGTGCTTTTAAATTTTAATTAAATTGTAAAAGTATAATTAAGAAAATATTACAGAGAATATTAAGAATGAATAATGAGTGCACTGACACTGTAAATGTTTTTTACACGTTCATTTAATCTCGGATTGACATGTATGATAATTTGTTGACCTTTTAAACTGCCGGTCTTAAAAGTCGTATCAATGTTGGTATCTGATTATTTCACAGCGTCAATATAGATATTAAGTCTGGAGATTAGTTTATGTGATGATGAAAACGTTGAAATGCTGGCATTTGAAACTCTGTTTTAGTTTACTTGTGTTGTCAATTATTTGTAAATATATCGTTTATGCGTAATGTAAACTGTACGATTCGGGTATTTTTTAAAGGAGATGCAGAGAAACCAAAGTGTCTTTTTGTTGAATTACTAATTAAAGTGGAGAAAAAATGTTTGCTTGGTTAAATATGGAAGCTTTTGAGTTGTGTTGTGTTGTGTTATGGGACTATGGAGAGCATCTATGTCAGCCATCCTGCTATTGAGAGTAAGGACTTGAATTTGTTATATAAGGATGCATCTTGTGCTTTCTTTTGTGAAATTTGATAACAGTGTGCGGAGGTGCTATATTTCACTATTTTTCTGCTGATAATATGCAGAAATCAGTGGTTCCACTTGTCAAGCCACATAACTTCATGCACTCTGATGATTACCTAGTTTTGGAAGATGAAAGTGGGCGGGTTAAGCTCAGCGGAAATATCATTCCGCCTGAATATGTAACAGGTCTATATGATGAACAACTTAACTTTATTTAGTAAATAGATTGTTATAAGAAGGCAATTAGAATCAGGTGTATGTTAATTCTAATTTCTTTCAGTTTGGATTGCTTTGTTTTCAGATTTGTTTAATATATCTGAGGTATCTAGAAATAACACATGTAGCTATGCAACATGCCTGCCGTACAAATGGCTGTCATTTGGAACATGACAATTTTATACTTACATTGTCTGCAACAGGAATTGTGGTCGCTGTACTTGGAAAGGAAAGTGGGGCAGGTGACTTTTTGGTTCAGGATGTACTAGATGCTGGCTTACCCCCACAGATAGAATTCCCCCTTAAATCAGGTACCTCTTGTATATCCTTTGCATTTTATAACCCAATAAAGCACACCCATTACACATGTATGGGATTTTTTGCCCAGACCTTAGCTACCCATGATAGATTAGGATTTCCCATTTGAGGATGGAAGGATATTTGGTGAATTGGCATCCCACTTTCCTGCATTGATGTTTCTGTTATCTATTTAGTATTTGGCCAGAAGGATTTGTGCTGTTTGAAAGTTTTATTATTGATAGTCAGCGATCATAAATTGTCTTCTGTTTCTTTTCTTATCCTAGTCTCTTTCTATTTGATTGCAATTGTATTTGCTGGAGTTAAAGAAACTAGTTTCTTATCTTTTTATATGGTCTAACTTTGAAAAGTTATCCAATTTAAATATGCTGCTTGTTCTATGCTTCATTTCCTCCTGCTTGTATTATGCACAGATAATGAGCAGCGAACTTTTAACTTTACATCTTTGATCCTCCTCACTTCAATATTTGTTATTAAAATTTCTAATTTTAGTAAAAATATTATCTTGAATTTTCTTTTGTTTGGATTCTACAGGGGAAGACAAATACGTTGTTCTTGTGTCAGGTTTAAGTGTTGGTAGCAGCACCTCTAATCCTCTTCAGTTTCAGCTTCTCATTGATCATATTACGGGGCATTTAGGGGATGAGAAGGTTTGTCCTGTTTTTCTCCCAACTTATCAAGCTGATAATTATTCACCATTAAGTTTTCACTAATGAAAAGTGACAAATTACACAGGCACAACTTTTTGCATCAAAAATTGTTCAAGTTGTCTTTGCTGGGAATTTAGTTGAGATACCTCACAGAATTCTTAATGGACAGGTATTTATGTTTCCGTATAGGGAGAGAAATAGGAAAATTAAAATTAGAGAGAAACCGTTAGTTTTGCATGTCATTTACTGGCTACGTTAGCTTCTTACTGTGTAAGGAGAGATCTGATTTATTACAGGGAAAGAATAGTATAAGTATGTGACGATGTGTGGTAGTACAAAAGTAATATAACAGCAATATCAAGCACTGATATCTTAACAATTTCAATGACAAGTTTCTTTAATGATATTGCATTTGTTTTCTACTACTGAGTTTCCTATACTAATATCTCTTTGCTAAACAAGTTTAAACAATGCACTCAATATAAGTCAATAGTTTTACTTTTTTTATTCTAATAAAGTAAACACCCTAACATATGATCACATACTCTTCTAATGTAATTTGTACTGTATCATCACCAATTAGTTTTCTCTGGTATCTGAATTCTTGGTTGCACTTGCTCTCTATTATTTGATTTAGTTGCCGTAGTAATTCACTATTTTTTAGGAATATTGCAGAGTCATCTGATTTGTGTTAATGGATAATTAGATGAGAAGAATTAAGTAATCCCGCTACTTGTTAACATCTTAGAATTGCATTTAAGATTTACACACTTGGTTTATTTATATAAAGTCTAGATTGACATACAGTGCCCATTGCATGCGATTGCTGATTTCAGTAAATAATACAACCAATTTTATGGTATTTAATCTGTAATTCCTAATGTGATTTATTGGCCTTTTGATCAATATTTGAAGAATTTGGCTTCAGAAGATTTTGCAAGAATGTCTGAGCCAATAAGGGAGCTAGACATTCTGTTGAGTCAGGTTCGTTTCGTTGCAGTCATTCTTAAATTTTACTCCTTGTTTTTCTTAATAATATGCTTAAGTTTTACTTGCTTTTCAGATAGCTGCTGGTTTGCCTTTGGATATTATGCCAGGACCCAGTGACCCTGCGAATTTCTCATTGCCACAACAGGTTCTTATGTTTTTCTTTCAAGGTTTATGTATGTCATATTAACATGTGCTGTTTTGCTTTGTTACTAAAATTATCACTTTCAGTCATTGCATGAATGCCTTTTCCCTGGGTCGTCATCGTATAATACTTTCAGATCCTGTACAAATCCTCATTCTTTTGAGCTTGATAATGTCAGGTAAATAGTCTATTCTCAATATTATTGTCTTTGTTGCTAAATGCATTATACGTTGAACATGATCCCACACTGCTTGCAGGTTTCTTGGGACATCCGGTCAAAATGTAGATGATCTTGACAAATATTCAGATGCAAAAGATAAACTTGAATTCATGGAAAGGACATTAAGATGGAGGCATTTAGCACCCACCGCACCTAATACTCTTGGTATGCTTATTATATATTCCTCAATGCTTTTACACTTCCTTTATCATCAATAATCCTTTTTTCTTCTGCTTAGCTCAGCCAATTTTTTCTGGAGGGTTGAACATTTGTTATATTACCTGCTATTTCTGAAGAAATATATTTCTCTTACAAAATATAAAAATTATTTATTCTCACTTCTGATACTAACTATTGTCTTCCAGGGTGCTTTCCTTTTACTGAGAGAGATCCTTTCTTCATTGAGAGTTGTCCTCACGTTTACTTTGTTGGAAATCAAGATAAATTTGAAACTCGTATCATAAAGGGTATTTTTATTCTAAAATCTATATTGTAGTGTCAGAAATAAAAGTTACTTTGTTTCTGTTTGCGTTTACTATAATATCGCTTCTCTAAAACTTCAATCAATTTTGCATATTGCTTGCAGGATCAGAAGGGCAGTTGGTGAGACTCATATGTGTTCCTAAATTCAGTGAAACTGGAGTTGCTGTTATGGTGAGCTTCAAATCGTGCACACTTCATTTTAACTTAGATATGGCCTTTTTATACTTGTATAAATACATTATTCCATTAGCATATCAGTAACATGTCTCTGGTTTGTTGTTTAAGGCAATGGATTGTTGTCCCTCTGAACGTACTAACGAGACTCACTTTAGGCATTTCATTGCAGTCTATTTAATCTTTAGAATGGGTTTCTAAATGATTAAAAGCTAAAAATATGGTTCATAGCTAGAATTTCAATGTTATCTGAAAATTTAAAAGAACTATCATCTGAAAATTATGTTGTTACTCTTTTGACAATTTTCTATACGTGAAAGATTCATGAAAGATTTTGGTGTTGGCCTGTGCCAGAGATAACTGGGTATTTCCAATTATTTTGGTTACGGATTAGTCACGTGAGACAAATAGGTTTTGGTATGTAGATTGTCTTTTTCTACCATTATGGACAACGGCAATATTTCCTCCAAGGTCCCTTAGCCCCAGCTGTACGATGGTTGATATGGTTTCCAGTTGGGTTGAAGACAATGCTTGTAAATCAGTTAATTTTGAAATTTAATGAATAAAATAATAAAGCCCTTTGCAAAATTTTTAGCTGCTCGTGTTATTGACTGTTAATATGCCAAGAACTTTACCGACCTAGCTAGTAATCTCTTGTCTTCTCTGAAAAAGAAGTTTTAGTTCGATCCTACATGGCTGTCACTGATGCTATTCTGGAATGATTTATATTTGATGAAAATGTAGTTAAGAGCAATATTCTGTAGGATTACTATTGCTGAAGGTTGTTTTCTTTGCTTAATGTCTGCTGTCTTATAAAGCTGATTTCATCTGATGTAATTCTTTCAGACTGGTAATTCCTCTTTCCCTTTTTGCAGCTTAATCTAAGGGACCTCGAATGTCATGCTCTCAGTTTTACCCTTGATCTATAAAATGGGTTAAGTCTATGAGGTATTTCCAACTGAAATCAACATCCTTTTTTTACTTGTTACATTTTCTCACTTTTAAAAGCCTAATTGGCATATTAGGCGTAACTAATTAAAAACTAATACGACAAAGTAATAATCTAAAATACAACAAAGCCATTACTGAAGTCATTTTGGTGTAATGGTTTGTTTTTTTGTAGTGCCTGATAGCAACACGCTCATGTAAAAATTGCTTTTAAGTTGTATCCATAGTTAGTGTGGCTTCTCCACTATAATAGTTGTTACAAATACAATTTGTTTAAATTTATCTGATATCTATGGCTGGTGTTATGAAGTTTAATCTTCAATGGTTTTGGCAGTTCACGTGAACAATGAACATGTGAAACTTTTATCTTTTTTAACAGGAGCTTTGAGAACTAATTTATCTGAATTAATTTTGATCCCTGAAGGCTGTCATTTTCCCCTTAAATGGGTTTGAAAGAGTCATCCATGTTTATCTGTAGACAGATGATTTTCATTTACATCTAATGCAGGTTATTCAAAATTTGTTTATTATGGGTGTATCCTTAGACGTAAAGCAAAGAACTGAAAATTGAAGCTTGAAGTTGACAGAGGCTACCTGTGTTTTTTAGTCTAATATTTATAGTATCTGATGTATTGACACCCGTGACCATTTTTCTTTGTAGTTTTGAATGTAACATAGTATTTACACTTGTGTATTTGTTTGACAATGGATATATAAGATTTCAATTCAGAAAATGTTAAGTTTTCTTATTTATTTTTTCTTCAAGGTATCTTGTCGTGTAACTTAATAATTGGTGGCTATTGCTTCCTGTACGTTATCACTTTCGGAATTTATTTTCAGGAACACTATAAACAGCTCTGGAATTTATTTTTTCGGAAAGCAATCACCCCCCTCTTATTATGGAAACAATTTTTGGGAAGTTTTTTGATGGGGTGTAATTTGGTGGGGTGTAAGAAGCAACAGCCATAATTCGTTTGCTATAGCCCATTATTAATAACTAGGAACGCATTTAGTATTAACGATGAAAGAAAAAATTCAATATTAACTATGAAAGAAAAAATTCAACTGACTATTTATGTAGAAACTAAAACTTTTATACTAATTTGAAATGTTAGTTTATTATATTATAGATAGCTAGGAGAGATAAAACAGTTTGTTTATTATATAGTAGGAGAAGGTAGGTAGTAGTATGTCAGAAAGTAGCACTGAAACTGAAGAAGGAGAGCGCAATTGTGGGTCCTTTCAACTTTAGTACTGTATTGTTCCCATCACAACATTCACATGCCATTCCCATCTAACATCACAGAAAAATCCAAAACAAGACAAAAATAAGAAAAATCTTAGGATAATTAAGTCAGTCAGAATTCATTATCCCAACCCAACGGCTATATTTTCTTCCCTCTCCAGTTCATTATTCAACCATTATCTCTTACCACTTTTGCATCTCGTAACGGTCCTCACCACAGAACATATATATAGTCTTGTTAATATTACCTCACATAACATAAATAGTGCATTTATAAGATACACCATATGCTATTCCATTATGTCAATTATTGTTTCACTTCCAATGGACACTGCTAAGGTTCAACATGTAACCAAAAAATCTTCTGATGAGCTTCTGAAGAAGTTTGCAGAAGTGGGTTGTGACGAGGGTAGAAAAAGGAGAAGGAAGAAGAGGAAGGAACATGATTTATATGACTTTGACAGCCCTTCAACAGGTGGCACAGCTGTCGAAAGGAGGTCTCTTCTGCTGCCCAGGTTGACACGGAGGTCGGTGGTGCTCCGGCAGCTCAGGATCAGAAACAAGTCATCACTCTTTGGAAACATTCATAAGGTGAAGCCAATTCAAATCATTTTCTTCAGACAAAGCGTGTTTTTGGTCCATATGTGATAATTTTTGTTTTAATTTGTTTTCGTGAGTTGAAAAGGTGTTTTTTCTTTTGTACACTAAGTACTATTTTTTGTTCAGTTAATTATATAAATGCAATAAATTATGAAGCAATTATACAGACATCTATGTCAGCTAAAAAAGAATTAATTTGGTCGAAAATTTTTTTTTTTTTCACTTTTCTTGTGTCTAAAATTCCTAGACACAAGAATAAATTAATAATGTAGGAAAAGGCTATAACATGCTTTAGAAGGGGGAATATTTAAGCCTGATTATGGCTTAACTTGAAGCTTCAAACTTTATACCAAAAATATTAATGATTTACTTTAAGAAGTAATTTTATTAACTTTGATCACTAATCAATCTTATCTGAAAAATATAAATATTTTTTTTCATGACTTGTTGCAGACATGGCGTAGAACCATTGAAGGTGCATCCAGAATTTTCTTGGAAGAGCATTATCATCGTCATAAGCGTTTGATCAATGACAGTGTTTAGGCTCTGTTCAAAAATGTACAACTTCTCTTTCTGCATGTGTGCAAACCTTTGTATATTTTCCCATTGTAATTTCTTCTCTCTGTTTTTCCTTCTTTGATTTCTTGTAATAAAATTTATGTCTTCATTCTCCATTTTGTTATAATATCTCCTTTGAAATAGTAAAAAGAAATATAACTTATAAATCTATGTTTATGCCTATTCTATTATATATAGATTTTCTCTATTTGGGTTTCTCCAAAATACTTGAAATGGTTTGTTAGACCTTTTACATCACAATTAGTTATATAAAGGTTTTTTTTAAAGATAACTACTACATCATTTGTGTTAGTAGGTAGGAATGACGTGACGTAATAAACATTTTTATTTAAAAAAAAAGGTATACATTGAATTTTCATTTTGTAAAACAATACGTTAAGTAATAATATATATTATAATATTTTAATAAATATTATTTTATTATTAATGTATTTTGATAGTCTTTTATAAATTTATGATTTTTAAATGCATTAAGATTTTGTAAGAAAATAAATAGCATTCACTTACTTTTAAAACAACAAAAACACGATTAATATTTTTTTATTTTAAATAATTATTTAATTTTAAGAATATTTATCTCGATTCATTAAGGTTAAATATCCTTAAAATTAAATATATTTTTTTTTAAATTACGTAGAGTGTAGGCTTTATATGTAACATTTCATTTTTAATAGTCAAATATTACTAAAATGAATATTAGATATATGATAATGAAATTACTATAAGAAAAAAAAAACTACGAAAGACAAGATCTACACCTATAGAATTATCTAACTTCCCAACTGTTTCACCTCACCTCTCGCTGGAGCTATGTAAAGAATGTCTCACTAAACTTACACCATTAAGGTGATCATCGCAAAAAAGAAAACATCCACAAAAACAAACAACACAGAAGCAAGAGTAAACTATAATACAAAACAAGTCATATATCATTTATAACGTATCACTCTTAAATCAAATGTGTAATATTCACCAATCCAAACATCTTAATGTGCAAAGACCTAAACCGACTGTTCAGACCTAGAATGTTGAACTATGACGAGTTATGCACTTGTGGTGGCCACTACTGCTTGTAAAGCCCTTGCCAGTTGGGTTTCACCCTACCACACATCACAAGATTAGTCCTCAAATGCCCTTTTGCCATATGGAAAAAGGCTCCTCAGGTTCAGACCTCCTACTACTCTCACCACATGTGTTAAACCTCTTTATTTGAGAATGTATGACTATTAGAATGTCAGGATAACCTCTAATACTAAGCTCCCTGCATTCGCACTAACACACTTGAAACTACACACTTGAAACTACTACTCTCACCACATGTGTTAAACCTCTCTATTTGAGAATGTATGACTATTAGAATGTCAGGATAACCTCCAATACTGAGCTCCCTGCATTCACACTAACACACTTGAAACTACCACTGAGAATTTCCTCCTTGAAACTCTCTACCATACCTTTGAAACCATTGAGATCACTTCACATTCACATAGTATACCAATACATGAGACTACTGGTCATACATTAAAGAAATAGAAACACACATATAATTCATCAAAAATCACACAATAACACAATTTTCTTCATAGCAACTTAGTACTCACACTTAGGCAAGAAAAACAACTTTAAAATTCTCACCAACAACATCGGAAGGGTCCAAAACAACCTAAAAAACATTCAAAACTAATATCCAAAATCCTAAAAATCATCCAATACTGGTAGTGGTGCCTAGTAGCACCCAAGATGATTTTCGAATGATAATAATCCATTATCATGTGATAATCGATTATTGTTGAGATATTTGAAGAAAATATGACCCTCTTACAGGAATAATCGATTATCAAGTGAGATGATCGATTATTCTTATTAGTTTTTTACAACAACCTAATTTTTTCTGGTTTTGGTGCATCTTAGACATATCCAAATGATCAACTTAGAATTTGTAATTAATACTAATATTGATACGAAAACATGTTTATAAAGAAAGTAGAGTATTACATTGCTCATTCGGATAGGACTTAGATGTATCAAACCAATTCAACAACTCAAAAGTGCCTAAACTCAGTTATATCTCTTGCACACTCAATATTGGCAATCTAGCAACATAGACAAGTCTTAATACACTAGATAACATACCCAAATACCTAAGTTTCATCCCAACTATCCTACTTTCAATTCTTAACACTTAAAACCTCTAAAATGGACTAGAAACTCAACTTATGAAGCCAATATCACTTCCATGACAAATATTGTATAATGTCGTTGTTTTTTGGCCTTTCACGTCGAATTCGAGGTCGATGTCATATCGGGAGATGTTAAATTGACGTGGAATTTAAAAAATTTGACGTTAATCAAATTGACATCGAATTTTATTAATATTCGACGTGAAACAATTTTTTTTTAATTAATTGTAATCCTTTTTTACAACTCTACGAGACTTCAAAAGTAGAAAAACAACAAATTTCAGTTTTTGGTATTTTATAAAGCATGAACTATGAACGTGTAGTATAATATCAACAAGAAACAAGTTCAATCAAACAACAACAACAAAAAACAAGTTCAACCAAATAACAACGACAAACAAGTTCAACAACAAACAACAACAAACAAGTTCAACAAATAAGTTCTTCAAAACGAAAATTAACCTTCAAAAGGTGGGTTCGTCGAAATAAAGTGTTTCCACCAGTGAGAGAGAAAGCAAAATGCGCCTATGAAGGACAATAACACGAAAATAATCGGTCAAAACAAACAAAAATTATACATAAAGTAGTTAATTAACATGCCTTTGTATCAAATGAAAGAAATATTACATGTGATGGACGTCAAACTTCGTTCGAGAAAAGTTTGAGAAGAGAAGAGGGTCTCGCGTACTAAGATAAAGTGAATGAATTTTCAATCTCCCGCTCAAATTAAAAAGGGGAAACTTTTGGCTGACAAATAATACGTTGAAGCTCCTACAAAATTCGACGTATTATATGTGGTTTAAAAGAAAAAGGAAAAAAAGAATTAAAAAGGTGTTACTTTTTGGCTTATGATTGACAAATAATACATCGAAGCCCTTACAAAATTTGACGTATTATTTGTTGTTTAAAGAAAATAAAAAAAAATTAAAAATGGTGACTATTTCTGACTGATAAATATTACGTCGAACCCCTACAGGATTCGACATACTATTGGTAGTTTAAAAGAAAGAAGAAAGAGAATGATGAATTGGTTTAAATAATTACCATCATAGAATGTCGAATTGAATGGGGCTTCGACGTTCTACAATTGCATTTATTTACAAAAATGTCACCGATCATTTTTAACGTTAGCTATTCAGTGGTTGGACGTTGAACGCGTGATGTTATACACTATTTTTGCACTAGTGAATATCACTTCCATGACAAATTTGACTGATTTTAGTTCCTAGACAAGTTCTAATAGGTATAATGATAGACTTCTAACCTTTCAAAACAGTTTATACTCACTACTTCAAAATCTCAGTACTCAAAACCCCCATTTTACACCAAAAGCACTTGAAAACTTTAAATATAAACTCTCACTTTGCTACATAACAGTTTTCAACCATCCAGCTCTCCTAACAAGTTCCAATTTACCTTCTGACAACACCTAGACAATAGCTTCCTCACATCAACCCCATATTCTCAAACTCACACATACAAACCCTTATTTTAGGCCTAAAACCAAATAATTTCACCATTTCTCATCATAATAATTTTGAATTCAATTACAAACAACAACACAACTTCATAGCACATATTCATAACAGCATGGAACATCAATTTTACAATATTACAATAACAAACTCTTCATAATACCTTTGTTATTTACACCAAGAAAATATTATACTATTATCACAATTTCATTCAATACATATTATTCCTATAGATTCTATTTTAATATAAACAAACATAATCAAAGACAGATCTAGCTTCCCTTACCTTACAATAAACTACCCAACTCAAAGAAACGTTCCGCCGATTGCTTGAAACACAAGGAATCTCTAGATGAACCTACGAGACAGCAAATTGAAAACGGACAGAATCCTTAGAACTCTAGATCAACCAAGAACAAGAAAGGAAGGTCAAATGACACATCCAAAATAGTTTCCATGCATGATCATGAACCAAAGCTAAAAGGTAAAAATGAGTAGAAACTTACTTGCTCTAAGACAAAAATTGATCGGTAAGATTTGTAGACCTTGACGTCGTGATCGTCTAGACACCTCCTAATCGCCAAACAGATTACTTAGGAGCAATAACACTTAGAGAGATGTGAGAGGAAGCAAAGAGAAAGAGTTCTAAAGAGATAGAGTGTGTTTTAAGAAATGGGACGAGTTTAGAAAATTCTATATTTTAAAATAAAATACTTGGTCTCATTATTTTAATACACCTACCAAATCTAATACTCTATTTTCTAAATGCTTACATTCCCCCCAACAACAACACTTTTCGACCTCGAAAATTCACTCATAGATAGCAAGAAAGTATGCTCTCCTCATTCTCTATCATCACAACAACCTAACTTAACCAATATATTATTCCCCAACAACCTTACTAACATGAAAACCTTGCCTTTGTGTTAAAATGCTCTAGTGTTTAATAGTGTAGATTGGTATAGCCACTACTCTCAACATAAATTCTCAACCTCTAAACTTCACTCTTACGAATCTTTCTTTCACATAACCAACCATATTGAGTCTGCCACACTGCTAACCCCTCATCTACCTTCCACTGCATCTGGTAAAACTCTTTTAAAACTTTTGCTAGCCTTGACTTCAGATCAACCCTTGACTGATCCCCCTTGATTTTCTATTGATCCCTTTAAGAAGCACCATACGATTGACTTGATCACTACAACTTCTGATTTACTGCCAACTGTTAATCACTCTTGATTACCTTTAAACACACTCATTCTAAGGACTTCACATTGCTTTACTGATCTCCACTCTTGAGTAACATAGTTTCCAACT